TGTGCTAATTAGGCTGTGCTGAAGCTGAAAGGAGCTGTTTTTTCTTGCAGTTTGCTGCAAGGAGGTAACTGCTGGGAGGCAGAAGCCAAAGGGTGGGGGCCAGTGGGTGGGCGGGGCTACATTCAGTGTATAAGACGCACCTAAATTTTCACTCCCTTTTAGGGGGGAAAAAAGTGCGTCTTATACTCCGAAAAATATGGTACCTTTTGCAACCTTCTGACAAGCAAAGTCAACGGGGAAGCCAGATTTACTGAACAACCATGTTACCAACTTAACAACTGCAGTGATTCACTTAACAATTGTGACAAGAAAGGTCATAAAATAACATAAAACTCAATTTATGTCGCTTAGCAACATAAATTTTCGGCTCAATTGTGGTCCTAAATCGAAGACTATCAGTACAAGCAGGCAAGAGAACGACCATTCAACTTCCAGGACCACAGGTTACATGCTGAGCAGCCTATCCTGGTGGGACTTCTGCTTGGAGCTTTGTCAGGAGCTCAGTAGCAACTACAAAAGGAGCAACCACACCGAATCAGCATCTCATTCTAACTAGCATAAAAACTTTTGAAAAAAAAACCCCAAAAGGTTGTATGGCACTTTATAGACCTTGAGACTTTTGTCTGAGTATTAAAAGACTGAGTAAAAAGGATCATTAAAGACATATTTTATGTGGCAACATCACCTTGAAAAGCTTAAAAGGGCGGAGTTGACCCAAAGCAATAGCCTGTTGTTGGGGAAGGTGTGTGCTGCAAAAAAGTGTTGTGTAACAGAATTGTTGTGCTGTGGAAAACAAAAAAGGCAGTTCTTCTGAGGTCCAAGTGGTGCCCCTGCAAGTCAACAACATCCCTCATGTTCTTTCTTTGTTTGACCTGGAATGTTCCACATTGTTTCATTTGGCAATTCAAAACATTAATTTCTTTCACTTGGATCTGGCTTCAGCTTGTTCCAGGCATATCTCCAGCAGATATTAAACAGACTGTCTCTGCACTAGAGCTAGGAGGGCATGTGGAGGAGCTCTTAATTACAAGATTACATTATTTCTGAATTAAATTGACTTTCTAAACTTGATTTGGAATGTTGAATTGTTAAATCAGATATTTCTGAATCCATTTATATAAGTATCCGTACAGAATACACACACACACACACACACACACACACACACACACACACACAAACACAAACACAGACACGCATGCACGCACACATACTCACACATTTCCTGAAGCATTTTAGTAATCTGAATGGATGTCACCCAATTTAATAATTTGATTTCACTCCCTAACTTCGACCAGATTGGTTTCTCAAATAGAGTTGAATCAGAGAATCAGATTTATTTTTTGAGCACATTAATATGAATCAAATTTTGCCTGAGCACAGAGCCTCAAAAATCCTTTAAACTGTTCATTTAGAACTTATTTCATAGGGAGATTTTTTTTCCCTCAAATGCATTGGGAATCAAGGTAAACCAACCTTGAAGTTGAAATAAAAAATAGAAAATAATAATTCCAGATGGAATGGATAGAATTCTCTCCTGCATTTAGTGGGACATAAAGGCTTAATCCCACCACTATAACCTCTTTTCTAGTTCCTTTACTGACCCAGTATCTATTTTAGATAGAAGTGCTGCATACTTATATTTTGGCAATATGGAGGAAGGGGCTAAAGAATGAGGCTCTGTAATCTTTGTATATGTACTTAACCTGATAGGTGTTTCATCTGAATTTTTTTCTTCTTCTGATTTGAACAGAATGTGTTTGTTTAACATTGGTTGCAGGTATTCAGAAAGAAGAAATGACATATGATCCCTTTTTAGCAGTAGTGCTATGTCTGAATTGAGGAAATATACCCAGCAGTTTTATATTTGAGTTGGAACGATAAGGAAGTTTCGCATATAAAATGTATTGTCACTCTCTGTTAGAAAATTTTCCAAGAGAAGCTAAATCTTGATGTTTCTGCCTTTTGCCTCACTGTAAATAATTGTGTCCAGGTGTACATGAAGATCAGAATACAGTAATCAAAACAACCATCATTGAATGGTTGGCCACTGGATTATGATTATGACCAATGATATGCAATTCCTTTCAGTTTGTATATATTTCTCTCTGACTTCCTGTCTGCAACTGCTGTGCAGTTTGGGGAAAGGATATGCAGATCACTTCTGGTGGAGCGTCCCACTGGTTTTACTACCGGTTCTGCGAAACGGTCTGAACTGGGGGCAACCCACCCCTGGTCCACATGTATTTTATTTACTCATTTATGAGATTGATATAGTTGCCCATCTCACAAACATGATTCTGGGAATATACAATAAACAGTTAAAAATTGAAACAACAGTTAAAGCACACAACAGTTACAAATTGTTGTGACCCAGGCCCAAGTAGTTAATATTAAATACAAACAGTTCGAAAACAAGCAGACTTTATTAGAACACCTGAGAATTAACTCCTTCTCAGATTAGTCCAAACTAAATTAAAGCAAATTCTTCAAAACACCATTCCTCAGTTTATCACCAACCTTGGAATAATCAGGCAAACTGCCAAAGGCTTTTCTTGGCAAAAGTTCAGAAGCAGAAGACGCCGACAAGAAATGAATACAGTGAAACAAGAAGCAATTCTCTCAACGTTGCTTTCCGGCAAAGAGGCTAAGAGCTGTTGCTGGTCTTTTAAGCCTTATGGGAGGGGCCAATCATCTCTTGGTCCTACTCCCGAGTCATCCTTTCTGCTTTATCTGCTCCTGCCTTCTGGCAGCTCTTCTCATACGAGCACTAGGAATAGGCTTCTCCTGTTCCTCTGTCTCTTTACTGTCAGCCTCTGGAGGCTCTGAAGTCCACACATCACTCCCCGATGGCCCTGGCCCCATCTCTGCCTCCAACGCAGAGCTCTCATCCAGGCCTACCCCAGTCTCCAGGACTGGCCCATGTTCTTCCTCAGCCTCATCGCTGTCCGACTCCACTGCCAGCTCCGCAGGCTGCTGGCGGACCACAACACAAATGCAAACAATTTTTTTTAAAAAAAAAACATGGTAAAATGGACCAACATTCTACATTCAGTGTAACCATTTTGCAATTTGTTTGGCGGGAATTTTCTAAATGCCAGTAGGGTCAAGGCTAATATCCACTTGGAGGGTGTGGGGTGTGGGGAGAAATTATATTCCAAAGAAAAGGTGCCACAGCAGAAAAGTCCCACTTCCTGAGTTCCATTAGATGAAACTCTTAACCAGAGGGGACCTGTAATATGTCCCTCTTGCCAGACCTGATAGGACAAATAGGTGTGACTGGAGAGACCTCAAATAACCTGGTCCAATCTATGTAAAGTTTTCAGGGTCAAAACCAGCACCTTTAATTGAACCTGGAAGCATACCAGCAACCAATGCAGCTTGCAGTGTAGAGGTGTACTGCTTTAGGATCATACATAATTGCTTGCTTTGCATACTTTTGCACCAGTTGAAGATTTCAGATGCTCTTCAAGGGCAGCCCTATGTATTGCGTGTTTCTGCATTGTATTTTTTCTCTTTGAATGCAGATCTTGTCACTGCCCTATTAAAAATAGATCGATATTAACAAAGTCATCAAAAGTTGCAAGTGAGTCTCCTGAAATCAAGGCTTTCAGACAATATGTGAGTCTCCTGAAATCAAGGCTTTCAGACAATATGCCATTCAGAAGTTCTTTTAACAGCTGAGAATATAGCATGCTTGAACAAACTTCCTGCTCTTGAATTATCCAAACAGCTTGTCTGTTGATTCAATTCCAACTACCTCTCTGAGGTATCAGCTATGGCTGGTGTCTTCTTCCTGCCTTGTAACTAAGCCAAACGAGCATAAGCTACAAGGGCTCAGACTAAAATGGAAACCATTCCAATCTTCTCTGTAAACATTATTTAATTGACCATGTGGGAAGAGTAGGCTCTCCATTCTCAAATAATTACCTGTGAATTTGTAGGATGGAGAGAGAGTCCAGCATTTGCCTAGAATAGTAAACACTGTTGGTAAAAAACACACATCACATGGACAATAAATAGCTACATATTTCTCTGAAGATACCCTTTAAAATTATATGGGAAGAAGAACAGAATTTCTTCTACTACTAGTGAAATTGTTACCACTTAAACAGGAGTTCTTTGTTCATTTGTTTATTTTATTTCTGTCACAGACCAGCATAAAAGTAATAACACTGCACAAGAGAAGTAAAAACAAAAAAAACAAAAAAAAAAACAAATTGAGAGAATAAAATGAAATAAAATACAAATAGAATTATGAACATAAAATTGCAGAGTTTAGCGGTTAAAGCACAGGACAGATCTATAAAATAACCATCAATTGTCTAATCAGTAGTCTGAATGTTATAGAGAATTAAGATAGATACCTATCGGAGAACTTAAATATTAGGATTTGTAAAATGTGGTGATATAAAGCTAGGCTTCCTTATATTGAGTCTAATATTTGTTGAAGCTGAAAACAGTTTGCTGGGATTGTGACGGTTATGATCCAACTGAGTACAACAAAGAAATAGCAAAATAAAACATAGAATGGTATCTGTATATTTAAAAGGAAAAGGAAAAAAAGGAGGGAGGAAAGTAAAACTATTTAAAAAGGAGGGAAATATTACAGAATATGTTGCGTTGCATGAACTTAGGTAAGGCTCAGCACTAATTCTCTTGGAGGAGTTGGGTATGCTTGAACATGGCTTTGACACAGAACTGGACTTTGTTGTCTGAAACCCATGCCACCTGGCCTAATAAGAAGGTCAGCAGCCTTCAGCCTCGCTGGGTATTGTGTTCTACATGGGAAAATATACATACCTTGTAGGTTTCTATATAAAAGACAGCACAGCAATACATGACCCATGGATTTAATGTCCCCATCACCACAAAGACACATCTTTTTTGTTATGTTGCAGAACTTTCTCTCCAAAATGAGGAATTCTTTGCCTTTCTTCTTCTTTCCCTTCCTCTTACCCCATCTTCATCCAGCATTGTTCTTTTTCTTTCCCCTCTAGAGAGAGGCAGAGATAATGAAGAAAAGTGAAAGAAAAAGAAAAAGAAACAGTAAGTGAAATCTCAGCCCCAAGGAATGATAAGAGACTCAAAACAATCTCATCTTGATTCTGGATGAAGAACATGGAGGCTGGCAGGTTTGCTGTCATACCTACAACAATAGACTTTGTGGTGTCTGCTTCCTGAAGTGGCCTACTTTGAAGGGCTGACTTCCCATTCACTTTCAATGCAAATACTCTTTTCTTTCCCCCAGCTCCATTATGTTTCCCAATGTAAACTGGATGGGCCAAGTGAGTGAGGAGATTTTGTGTGAATTTTTTTTTCTTTATAATTAATATTTCATATATTCTCAGTTTGTAAGTATTTGATAGCACAATCCTGTACATCAGATCAAAAGTAATCGGAAGAAACTTTATTTACAAATGCAGATTAAATATTTAATTCACCAGCAACTGTATTGCAATATCTGGAAAAATTCAACCACCAGAGAATTCCAGTGTTTCAATATCCTATTTCTTTCTTTACCTTTTCATAAAATACTAATTGGAGGACCCAGAAATCTATATGGCTTCTACCCTGATGGTGCTCTGGAAGGCTGGGTTCTCTTGGGCCTTGGGCTAATCTGGATGGCTCCTCTTTTTGGTTGTGGCTTGTATAAGTTTTTTTCTGTGTGGCTGGATGGATTTCCCAGCTTGTTCATTATCCATTTATTGTAGATTCCTTTTAAATCTCCATTTGTCATATTGTGAGTTGCTCAGAGCCACTCTGGGGTCATATGCCACTAAAACTACCTACCTACCTACCTACCTAACCAACCAACCAACCAACCAACCAACTAAAATTTTAGTTTTCCAGCTGTTAAAATCCTTTTCACTTTTCAGTATTCTCGGTTGCAAATACTTTTCATTTTTAGCTGGGAGGCTGGCCAAAATTTTGGAAAGAATGCCAGTGAGCCTCATTTAATGAATGATTGCATGTGATAGATATTGGGCTTGTATGTTATCTGTTTGGTCCTATATTGGCCTTCTGAAGAAGCAGTCCAGATAAACAAATTGTAGCAAACCTAATCTAGGCAATGCCAGCTCTGCATAAGGCATGCAACTGAATGCAAATTGTTCTGTCTCTGCTAATCATTTGCAACATTCATTGTGTAATTATTTAACACTTATATTCCTGACAGGCATATTTGAATGGAACACTTTTAGTCCTGCAGCGTGGTTCAAAGCATCTACAATCTACCCATTTCTGAAATATTGATTTATACAAAAACTGAAGTTGCAAAAATCAGTAAAGCAACAGGATCTCTACCTGTACATTGGCTGATTACAGGTAGGATTTTTATGATTTTTATGCACACAGAACTACACATTACCAGAATTCATCATGCTCTTCCAACATCCCAGTGTTCCTTTTTCATTGACTTCAGTTGAATGTTTGTATGTACCCAAGTCCAATTCTATCCTTCTGTAACCCAACATTTCTTGTGACCTTTGTACATTCAGCAGAAAGGAAGATCTGGAAATGGTTGCTAAAAATCTTCATGGTGATTTAGAATCCAGAGCTCTTTCATCTGGTAAAATTGTTCTATGGAGGAAAAGCTGATAGACAGATGAAACAAGTTGCATTTTTGGTTAATTAGGGGACTTATTCCTAATTCCTAAGGAAATCAACCCTGGCTGTTCTTTGGAAGATACTGAAGCTGAAGCTCGAATACTTTGGCCACCAAATGAGAAGAGAGGACTCATGAGAAAAGTCCCTGATGTTGGGAAAGATTGAAGGCAAAAGGAGAAGGGGACAGCAGAAGATTTGATAGTGTCATTGACACAATGAACATGAATTTGGGTAAACTCCGGGACACAGTGAAGGAGGGGAGGGGGGCTGACATGCTATGGTCCATGGGGTTGGGAAGAGTCAAACACGACTTAGCGACTGAACAACAGGGGATTTTTGATTCTTTGAAGTGTTCTTGGAATTAAAACATTAGTTCTTATCTGATTCTGAAAAGGGAATTAAACTACTATCCAATCATAGAAAGCGTATAGCTTCAGTGATTTGTGACCAGGCAAATAAATGTTCAGAAACAGAAGTAAATTGTTTTCCAGATATTGCTGAATTACAGCTCCAATATCCTAAACCAGCATAACCAGTTTTGAAGGATGTTGGTAATTACAGCTTAGCAAAATCAGAAAAGTCACTGGTTCCAATCCCTAAGCAATAACAAACTGTAGATTGAAGTCATTGTGAGTAAGAAGTAGAACATTTTCACAACTCATGTGGCCTAAATCTAAGCCACAGGAAGATTTTGGAAAATTTATCTGTCAAAGTCCTAATCTGGAAAAAGTTAATTACAACCTGAGTTCTCCACTCTCATTCCCCAGCTGATTATTAAGATGAACTAGATTTTTCACTCTACTATCTTACAAAACTGGTATTTTGTTAATCTCTTGCTCTTCTGTGGCTTGAACTGATACAGTCTGCAGTCCTCAGAAAGTTAAAGCATTGGAAAATCTTGTGTTATGGGAAGCATAGATTCATTTATGGAAAAGAATGCCTAGTGTGTGCAGTGATCATCATTGTGCCATAAACAAACAAACAAACCTGGTGAAATAACTTTCTTTTTCTTCTTAAAAACGTCCAGGGAAGAAAAAAAAATCTGAAAATTTGGACTTCAATAGGGTACTACAATAGACTGCTCTATGGTCTCTATCTTACATCTGAATACTTTTCCTTAAACAAAATCTAGGTAGGTAGATGCAACATGTGCTCATAATTTCTGATTCCAGTTTCTGTGGTAAAGGAGAATAGGTCTTGACTATCTTTGATGACCTGAATACTGATACGTTTTCTTATCTTTTTTTCCAGATTAAATATCCTAGTTCTTTCAGTTTCTCCTTATAAAGCATATCCTCAAGTCTATCATAGTTGCTGTTGTCTTCTGAACCTGTTTTAACCATTTCAGTGTTCAACCAGAAATGTGAAGCCCAAAATGTCCAGAATTGTTCACAATACTCCAATGTGGTCTTACTAATGCAGAGTAAGAGGCAGAGGTGGTATTCAGCAGGTTCTGACCAGTTCTGGAGAACCGGTAGTGGAAATTTTGAATAGTTCGGAGAACCAGTAAATACCACCTCCAACTGGCCCCGCCCCATCTATTCTCTGCCTCCCAAGTCCCAGATGATCGGGAGGAAATGGGGATTTCGCAGTAACCTTCCCCTGCCACGCCCACCAAGCCACGCCCACAGAACTGGTAGTAAAAATTTTTTGAATCCCACCATTGGCAAGAGAGGAATAAGAATGTTACACAACGTTGATATGATGCTCATTAATCCCTCTAACAGCTGTCTGACACTTGTCCTTCTCCTATGTAGTGGTTCCAATCCATTAATTCTTCATTTTACAGGTCTGCCTGTATTTTTCTTCCCTTCAGCATTTCCAACATGTCAAGATTAGATTATGGTTTCATTCCGTCCTCTTGGGTTTGGCCATACCTCCCAATTTTGTGTGATATACAAATTCAATAAGCAGCATATCACCCTATTATCCAGTCAGTGATTTAAAAAAAGTTAAATAATACTGTCCCCAAGATAGATCTTAACATTATACCCACCAGTCACTAATTTGATGAAAACCCACTAATGCTTACTTAGTAAGTACAATTAATCATCTCTTTTGCCCCACCATACTGTTGTATTATGTCAATTACACTGTAAGAACTTGTTAATGAGAATATCATGTGGAGACTTATCAAAGGTTTGCTGAAATAAAAATGGATTATATCCACAGTATTACTTTCAGTAATCATGGCATTATCTACAAGAAGCTTCTTTCCTCCTCTAACAACTTTCCAGACATTGATGGAATAATGATGGATAATTGGGATCTTCTTTTTTTTCCACTCTTGAGAGAGGATGCATTTGTTCATCTCCATTCTTCTGGCACTTCTCTAGGAATGGCACATTCCTCCATTTGTCTGGTAGTTCTAAGACTGATTGAAAATAAAAATTCAGATAAATTTTCAGCCAGTTTTTTTTTTTTTTAATTCTAGGGTGCATTTCATCAGCGTCTGAGGATTTGAAGACATTCATATTAGCTACAAGTTCCTTTACCTCATCCTTTCTCATATGCATCTTGTGTTTGTTAACTGTCCATGGTATCGAATCATTTTCTTTGGCTTTAATGATAGAAGCAAAAGGAGTTGAGTTCTCCTGCTTTCTCTTGACTTAGTCATATGTTACTTTTCAGTTCCTTCTCAGCAACTGAGAATTATTCTTTTTTCTTCGCTCCACTGTTGGCAAATTTGATGGAACCTTTCATGCTGTTATTCTACCTCTTTCTTGTCTCAGCTCATTTTCTGCCTTTTCTATTCTGACTTTCCTCCATTTCTGATCAGGAGTTTTGTAACTTCCTTGGTAATTAGCCCTTTTTCCGATTTCTAATAAGCATCCTTCTTCTGTCTGAACTGCTTCAAAGGATGTCTCCTAATTTTCTTCCTCATTAGTATTGTTTGAGACTGCACTTGGTTTTATTTTCAAGAAAGCTCGGGCAGCTATAACACTTTGCCTTATTATCCTTCATATTTATTAAAATCAACTTTTCTGAAACCCAAGGTTTGTGTTTGACTATTTTTTTTACCAGACTTTTCTATAATCAAGGAGTCTAATAATGCATGGTCATTTGCACCAAGGTTCCCACTCCTTTAATAGCTTCAGTCAATTCTTCCCCATTAGCAAGGACCAAATTCAAGAGCCTTAGAGATCTTGCACTACACAGCTTAACCTTTTCAAAGAGAAAATTATGACCAACATAAGCCAAGAATGCATTTGATATTTTGTATCTGGCAGAATTAAACTTCCAGAAACTATCTGGATAGTTGAAAATGCCCACCATAACTCATTTATGTTTTTTGAGGCTTTGATTATCTTCTTAAATAAATTTTAATGGTTAGAATAGTTAGAATAACAAAGTTGGAAACGACCTTGGAGATCTTCTAGTCCACGGGTGGGCAAATGTGGCTCTTTTACAACCTGTGGACTTCAATTCCCAGAATTCCTGAGATAGCCAAGTTGTCTCAGGAACTCTGGGAGTTGAAGTCCACAGATTGTAAAAGAGCCACATTTGCCCACCCCTGTTCTAGTCCAACCTGCTGCTCACGGAGGAAACCCTATACCATTTCAGGCAAATGGTTGTCCAATCTCTTCTTAAAAACCTCCAGTGTTGAAGCACTCATAACTTCCGGAGGCAGGTTGTTCCGCTGATTAATTGTTCTAACTATCAGGAAATTTGCATTGAATTTATATTTTACACTCTCTCTCTCTCTCTCTCTCTCTCTCTCTCTCACACACACACACACACACTAGTTTGTTGCAAAAGCGACTGCCTGCGAAGGCTCCTGGATTGGGGCTGAAAGGCAAAAGCAGAAGCAGTATGTGCCGTCCCATATTTGGATAAACCAGGTTGCCCTGATAGGCCAGTTTCACTAGAAAACAACACTCAGGAAATTTCTTCTTAGTTCTAGGTTGCTTCTCTCCTTGATCCATCCATTGCTTCCTGTCCTGCTTTTGGGTGCTTTTGAGAATAGCTTGACTCCCTCTTCTTTGTGGCAACATCTGAGATATTGGAACATTGCTATCCCCCCTAGTCCTTCTTTTCATCTACTTCTTCTCCTGGGTTTGGTAGTCTGTAGCAGATTCTTTAGCAACATGTCCTTCTTGTTGTGTTGCCTTTTAATCTGAACCTAAATGCTTTCAGTGTTTATGTTATCATCAGTTCAATGGAACCTTGGGTTCATTCCTGATATGCACAGCTTCTTCCTTGTGCTTCCTTGTGTTGTTCTCAAGCAAATATGTAAGATACAGAGGTTAGATTTGCATTTGTACTTCTGATTTTGCATTGGTTTAGGTATAAAGGAGAAGTGTATTCATTGGCCACAGTCTCTAAAAGTTATTATACTCAATGACCATCCTTCCTATTGGCTGTTTCTTCAATGCTAATGAAAGACGAGAATTTATTATTTGGGTTAGAAGGAAATCTGTAATTCATTAGGCCGTATACACAATATAGGATGCAAAAGGAAGATCGATTTTTTGTGATGTTGTAGGGTAAATATTGCATGGAAGTCATTTTTATTATAAGGATAGATAGGTATTTGGTTGTATCAAGTATCTTGATGATTGGTTCATTTTATTTTATAGCATTCAGATGATCATTATTGGTGTCATTTCACTGTGATTGTGGTCAATAATGTAGTTACATGATAACTTTGCCCCTCTTAGCCTTAATTAAACTGTATTTACTGTTTAAACTGATTTAGGATGCTTTTCTTTAGAATCAATGTGAATTGATTTGGGAAGGAAAGTTTCCTGGCAAACTTAGAAATATAGCTTGTCCTCATAAAATCTGGGATGCTGGTCCAGTCATATGCTTAAATCTAGAATTTGTTATAAAAGGCTAAAAGGAAGACTCTGGTCATCTTACATGTCCTTCTGTGTAACTGATCAGTATGGCTGTTTTCACTGAGTTTTCTGATAACTCCTCTTCTTTTTTTAAAAAATAATAATAATGCAGGACTTCTTTGATGCGTGGTGAAGAAGTCTGAAATATAAACAGACAAACAAACCAACAAACCTGATCTGGGTGAGTATGAAGAAATCCCAATTTCTGATCATGTCTTCAAAACAGTGTTTCTCAACCTTGGTTGAGTTTAAGATGTCTAAACCTCAACTCCCAGAATTCCACAGCTGGCTTGCTTGCCATAGGCTAGATGCTGGCTAACCTACACTTGCAGTTTGCTCTGCAAAGTTAGATTGCCGAAGAACACTCTTTGCGTACAGATTAGATCATCCTACTCCCTGTACTAAAGGAAATGCTACCCCGGCATGGCAAGGTCATAGCCAAACTGGTAGCCCAAAGGGACCTGTCTTCTTAAGGAGATAATTTATTTGTACTCATGAAAGAACCCTGGAAGAGAGTTTGGGCGCTAACCCTAACCTAGGAAAAAATAATTTCTGGTTGCTTTTTTTTTGCCTGGTATTTTTTTTTAAATTTGATTTATATGCCGCCCTTCTCCAGTGACTCAGGGCGGCTTACAATGCGTTAAGCAATAGCCTTCATACTTTTGTATATTTATACAAAGTCAATTTATTGCCCCCACAAACTGGGTCCTCATTTAACCTACCTTAGAAAGGATGGAAGGCTGAGTCAACCTTGAGCCTGGTGAGATTTGAACTTACAGTAATTGCAGACAGCTGGTGTTAATCACAATGCTTTTAGTCTGCTGAGCCACCAGGCCCTATGAAAATGGATGGAGAATTGAAAAAAGTTTGATCTGGGAGTGAACAATAATAGTAACTAGCAAGGGAAGATAAAATTGGAGGCATAATTTGATCATTGTTGAAAAAAGATATAAACTACAAGTTAGGCCTTATAGTTTTGTAGTGACTGATCCAAGGTCACCCAGCTAAAGCAAGACTAGAACTCACAATTTGTCAATTTTTAGCCTGGTGCCACTACTCCAAACTAACTGAATGTATTTGTGAAGGCTTTTATCAAGATAAATAAGAAATGTCTGCACTGTTTATCTGTTGGTAGTTGAGTGTCATGTAAAGGTGCTGGGTATTGACCTTAAAAGTCTTAAGTGCTACAGGCTGCTGTAATCTGCCTGGTTACTTAGATGAGCAGGGAAAGACGTATCTCAATTTAAGAACTTGACAATGAGAGACACAAAGAAAGGGCTTCTCATAGACATTGGAATTGTTCTTTAAGGAGATGTACCTGTATTTGTCTCTCGTTATTTAAGAAAATGATAAAAGGACACATTTTACTATTATTTAAATGTATTGGCTTGCATTACAGTCATTATATTTTATATTTAGCATTAAAAAAAAACCTAATTGAATCCTGACAAGTGTGGGAATGAACAGAAAGTCGGGATATAAATGTAGTAATAAATGCACAAGAGAAAACAGATACATTTTCTCAAAATCATGTCCATTCCTTCTCACCATGGCAATTGCTGTTGTCTTTGACAGAGGTAAGCAATTATTGGATGGCAAACTTGCACTGACCCTTTGATAATACGACTGAGACTGGGTGGGTTTTTTTCCCCCGACATCATAAAGTTGTTGGCAGAATTATTTTTGCAGCCGACAAGATTACGAAGGTGTCCTTGTTTGTTTAAAAAGTGCTACTTTGCAAGGAGAAGTCATCATGCTCTAAATGGTTGTTTTGTAAAAGCCAATGACAAGGTGTGATTAAGTGTATTTTGCATCAGAAAAGCCATAGTTAAAGATTGATCGATGCCTTTGAGTGGCATGGAAAGGTTATTAATATAATTGCCTGTAAACAGTGTTGCATATGGAATTGGTGAATTATGTCAGGTTACAAAGAGAAAACTGTGAAAGGCCATAATCATCTCCTCAATTTTGATACGAAGGACTTGGCTTGAATGAGATTGAATTATTGCTTATATTTGAATTAAATATATATCTTTATCTATCTATCAAATTTATATAGCCCCTCATCTCACAAGAAATGATTCTGTGTGTGTGTGTATGTATGTACAACAAAAAAGTATAAAAATAATAAACATATTAAAATACAACACACACACAAACACAAACACACACTGTCTGGTCCACCATCGTGTTCTGCCATTCTGTTGGAAGTGGGGGTGGAGGCTTGCTGGCCTTTTTCACATGCTTTTGCTTTTGCTGTAACAGCTTGGGAATTAGGGAGAGGGGATTGTCTTCAGAGACAGAGCGGATTCCCTCCCAGCCAGTTCCAGCCTGGTTTCAAGGCCATCATGCCCTGAGAATGACCTCTTTTCTGCCTAGCACCTCAGTGTTCTCAAAACAACCTTGTGGCATCACATCGACTGCCAGTGGACTGGATCAGAGGAGTTGGGTTTGGGGAAACAGAAGAATTGCTTTGTGCTCTGTGTTGTTGTGGATTTAATAAGACAAACACAACTTTTGGGTTGATCAGAGACAGATTTTATATATTGCGCAATAGGTTCAAGGCTCTGTACATGAAGCGTTGAACAAAGACAGGAATTAGGTACAATGGGGGACTTTTCAGATTCCACCTTGCTCTACTGCAACCATTTTCTCTCAGTAAAAGTTCTTTTAATTCAACTTAACAGATTCAAGAGTTTTACTTTCCTCAGAGACTAGCTAGGGCAGGTCCTTACACACACACACACACACACACACACACACACACACACACACACACAGAGAGAGAGAGAGAGAGAGAGAGAGAGAGAGAGAGAGAGAGAGAGAGTTCAATTGACAATGGAGCCACCTCAAACTGTCACCAGTCTCCTGAGGCCTGATGATAAAATCAGTTCTTGATAGGCTTTTGGAAAATAAGGAGGGATGGAGTTGACCTCACTTAATGGGAAGAATGTTCCATGGCAGAGAAGGCCAATCTCCTTGGATCTGCCAAGTATAGAGCCCTGAGAGAGGCGACCTGCACCAGGCCTCTCTTCCTGGATCTGATAGGATGAGCAGATATAACTGGTGAGAGGCGGTTCCTCAATTATTATTATTTGTATCTCTCAAAGGCACTTGCCATGAACTTGTTACCAAATGACAAGTTTCTTTAAAAAGATGTACTAAAGGTATAGGGACGCAGTGGCTCAGTGGCTAAGGCGCTGAGCTTGTTGATCGAAAGGTCGGCAGTTCAGCAGTTCGAATCTCTAGTGTCATGTAATGGGGTGAGCTCCAGTTACTTGTCCCAGCTTCTGCCAACCTAGCAGTTTGAAAGCACGTAAAAAATGCATGGGACCACCTTTGGTGGGAAGATAACAGTGTTCCTTTGGCGTTTAGTCATGCTGGCCACATGACCATGGAAATGTCTTCGGACAGTGCTGGCTCTTCAGCTTTGAAACAGAGATGAGCACCACCCCCTAGAGTCGGGAACGACTAGCACATATATGTGAGGGGAACTTTTACCTTTATCTTTACTAAAGGTATAACTGTGAGACTGCAGGAAGGATCCACATTTGAAGTGCACTCATGAACAAGCATTCCCCAGGAAACCTAATTACTTATTGACATACATGTGTACATATTCATACATACAAGAAACAATGCTTGCAAACTAACCAAGGAGAGAAGCAACCTAGAACTAAGGGGAAATTACCCAAGGATGAGAACCAGTGGTGGGATTCTGTCGGTTCTAAGCAGTTCGGCAGAAACATTTGTTAAATTGCTGGCTCGCCCCGCCCCTTGCCCTGCCCGTCCACACCACTATTTATTGCCAATAAATAGTGGTGGGCGAGGGGCGGGTGAGTCAGCAATTTAACAAACGGTTTGGTGTTTTTTTGCAATTTTATTGGCCCGCGGAGCTTCAGTATAGGCTAATTAGATCGGCCTCCCGACTCTCAGTTGATTTGCTCTCAGCTGTTTTGCTCAAGGCTCTGCTGCTTGCTTGCTTGCAAAGAGTGCTGGAGCAGATTATTTTCCCCCTGGCTATGCTGAAAAACGAAACTGAAAGTAAAGCAGGCTGTTGGCTTTGCTGTTGCTGCAACGTTGGAAAATTAGGCAGGCAGATTTCTTTTCTTTTTCCTCACCAAAAAAGGTAGGTGCAAACAATGGGAAATTTAGGGCAAAAGAGGAGAGTTCAAGATTTTAAAACACAAAAGAAAAAAAGCTCTATTTAACTAGGGAATTGTAATAATTGAGATACTATTAATTGTATATTTCTGAAAGCAGAAATGGTTAAGTTGTGGTTTGGAGGAATATATGGGGGAAATTATTTGGTTTATTATTATTGGTAAATATAATTAATTGATTTGTAAGAAATTGGATTGCATGGAAATAATTGGAATATTCATGTTCATATTGATTAATATACAAAAAAGATAGTTATATAACTAATTGATTTATATTAAAATGTTGAATTTATATTAAACAACTGTAATATTACATAATTAACCAATGTGAGGATGGATATAAAAATAGATGACAATGGGAAGGGGTATAATATAGAATAGAAGGGAAAAATTGAATTTGATTAAGATTAGAGATGAGGATGAAGGGTAATATTGGTTTTTTAAAAAAAATAGATAAGGAAAAAATATGGCAAAAAGGAAATATAGAAATTGTAAATTTAATTGAAATGACTAAACACTGTTTAAATTTGTGAACTGGCCAAATACTCTGTTCGAAGAAAATACGTTGTATGTTTGTATGTGTGTTTCTAATTATTGCTATTTATTCATATTTGTTCTCTTTTATTCTTTAAAGTTTAACAATTCATTCTTTATCTTAATATCTTTATATTTGTTTGGGGTTGCCTTTCTTCCATTTCATCTTTTTTACTGTACAGCAATCTTTCTCCTCAAACTTATCACCTCTCTCTTTTCTTTCCTTATTACTTTCTTCCCCCTGCCCGCTGCTTCTCCTCCCTACTTCCTCTTCCTTTCTCCTTCTCCTCCTCTCTTCCTCCCTTACCCTCACTCCTACTCTAATTTCCCTCCCCTTCCTTCCTCCCTTCTCTTCCTTCCCTCTCTCTCCTTCTTTCTTCCATCTCTCTTCTCCTTCCTTCATCCCTCTCTATTGCTGTATCCTTTTGTGCATATGGATTACTCAGAGGGCTGAAAAAGTTATTTTTGACTGGTCCTTGCACTTTTGACCACTCCTCGAATTTACGACTGTCCTCACATTTTACGTTTTTTGCTCTATCTTGTCACCATGGTGAAGAGAAGCAGTGTGAAATGAGTGACACGGTTGTTAAGAATGCTACAATGGGCATAAATGATGACTAGTCATAAGGGTGAGGACCGGTCAAAAGTGCGAAGACCTGTCAGAAATCACTTTTTTCAGCCCTCTGAGTAGTCCATATGCACAAAAGGACTACCCAGAGGGCTGAAAAAGTTATTTTTGACCGGTCCTCGCACTTTTGACCAGTCCTTGAACTTATGACTGTCCTCACATTTTACGTTTTATGCCCTATCTTGTCACCGTGGTGAAGAGAAGTAGCGGTGAAATGAGTGACACGGTTGTTAAGAATGCCGCAACGGGCATAAATGTGAGGAAGGTCATAAGTGCGAAGACCGGTCAAAAATGTGAGGACCAGTCAGAAATGACTTTTTTCAGCCCTCTGAGTAGTCCCTATACACATAGCCACGCCCACCCGGTCACATGACCAGCTAGCCATGCCCACCCGGTCACATGACCACCAAGCCACACCCCCAACTAAGCCACGCCCACAGAACCGGTTGTTAAAAAAAATGAATCCCACCACTGGTGAGAACAATTGACTAGTGGAATGGCTTGCCTTCAGACATTGTGGTGCTCGAACATTGGAGGCTTTCATAAAGAGATGGGATAACCATTTGTCTAAAATGATATAGGATCTCCTGCTCGAGCAGGGGGTTGGACTAGAAGACCTTCAAGGTTCCTTCCAACTCTATTATTCTATATTCTATCATGTTATTTCCTTTCCTGCAGGACATAGACAAAAAGTAAGCAGTTATAAACAATATAAAGATGTGAGATATGAGAAAAGTTATTATGCATTTCAGCTTTTTTTAAACCTATAAAGCTTCAGTATATAATTGCTTTTGTGACAACAAAATGATAGATTTATTTCTTTGACATTCTAATTCAGGATTCCAACCCAATCTGAGAAAGCCAAGTCAGTTTCATCCAAAATTTGAAACGAACCACAGGAGGTCTGCTATAACATTTCCCTATGTTTCATAAAATCTAATGTAGCAGTCAATCAAGTTTTTGAATAAAGATAAACTCCTCTTGTGGAAGTATGCTAAGTTATATGGATATAAAAAGTAACCCTGATTGGATGGGGGAAAATGGCTCTTCAAAAGTAGGTTGGTAATTACTTCAACAGATTATTTTGATATTACTGTATCTATTGGTTTTAGAAGTATATTATCTGGTATGAATGAGTGAGAAGTATTTTCCTATAACAAAGTAGCTTTCTTAGTGTATACGTTAAGTATAGAGTTAAGATTTAGCAGAAGATGTGCTTCTAGACAATGCAACAGCTACAGGATATACTAGTCATGTGACTGTCCCATTAACAAGAATGTTAGGACTTTTCCAACATTTGTTTTCCTTCTCCCCTTAATCTTCATTAGATCTGCTGTAGGATGAAAGGAAATGTTTAATTCTGATTAAAATCATATCCGCTTTGTTAATCACATTTGCAAAAAATACAGGCAAAAATTACTGATTGAAGTAATGGCATGAAATAAATAATTGGGTGTCTATGGAGATTCTTAGTCATCCAGGTCATGGTTGTCCCAAAAGTACTTTTTCAAGAGGCAACTGGACTTTCTGGTTTTTCTTTGAAGAAGTTTCACTTCTTATCCAAGAAGCTTCTTCAGTTCTGTCTGAAAAATAACTGGTGGGGAATGGAAGGATTTATAATCCTTGCCGACAGCTGGTCATTTGCATTCTTTTTAGAGAGTTGTTGAGGCCACCTGGAGACATAGGAGAACAAACCCATCAGGATGAGTTTTAGCAGTCCATCTACATTTAAAAAACAAAGGCCATTCTTTTGAAGACAGCAAAGTCCACATTTTGGACAGAGAGGACCACTGGTTTGAAAGAGGAGTCAAAAAGGCCATCTATGTCAAAATTGAACAGCCCTCTCTCCACAGAGTGGCAGGGATACAACATCATCTATCTCCAGTCTACAACACAATCCTTTCAACAGTTCCAAGAAGGCTCCACACCATTTGCACTACTTAGGTGACCCTGATGACACAAATAAACCTCCAGGTGGCCTCAACGACTCTCTAAAAGAATGCAATTGACCAGCAGTCTGCAAGGAGTATAAATCCTTCCATTCCCCACCATCCAGTCAGAGATGAAGAAGCTTTTTGGATGAGAAGCAAAATGTCTTCAAAGAAAAACCAGAAAGTCTAGTTGGCTCTTGAAAAAGTACCTTTGAGATAAATAATTGGATAAAAACACTCTGGCTTAGTTGACTCTGGCTAGTTTCAAATTTGTCTCTTATATCACTGATGTGCAATAAAAAAACAACTTCTGTCACCTGGAGGATTTTAGTTCAGCAAAGCTTCAGAGTGAATGTAAAATTGCTTCTAAAGGACCTTTCAGAATAAATGAGGCTTTCCTGCCCAGCTGTTGTGATTTCCCATCCACCCCCCACCCCCACCCCACGTGCAGAATTTATCAATTCATTTTGAACAGCAAAATGTCAGAAGCAGATTGAAGTCAGCAAACTATGACAAGGAGAGACTCACAAGATGAATTGTCATTTTAGAATTAAGACATTTCTTCAAAAGATTTCCGGAACATTCAGCAGCGATTAGCCACTTTACTTACTTTGTTTACAAAAGATACACATGGGTTCAACAAACAAACAGCAATTGGAAGAAAGAAAACAACAGACCATGCAGATTGTTCCATATGTCAGTTCAAGCAAAGAAGAAGCAATAGGTTCATTTGAATATCTCAGATTAGTGGCATAAGGAAAGAACAAATAACATTATTCATTGTGTTTTGACACGTTCGGATAAGAATGCACCTTAAGCAGGTAGGTTTGTTATCTGATAGAAAGTAAGAGCTCTTGGTGGTTAGCACACAAATACAGAGTCATCCATTTATCTGGGTGATATTTTTGAGCTTACTTTTTGTGGAAGATAAAAAAGTGCTACTGCTATCATTTTTTTCTAATACATGTCTTTCCCTTATTTTGAAATTTCTAGGCAGCCTACATTCTCAATGTGAAAAAATAATAATAATACAGAGGAGGTTCATGTTATTTTCCCTTGGAATTGAATAGAGGTTTGGAAGAGATTCTCATCAGTTTTTGTAGCAATATAGGAAACATTCATGTGATATATATGGTGCCTATGGTAAAATATATGATTTTGTGGTCATGTGGTTATGCCCCATGCTGAACAACATCTCTTTAGAACAGGGGTGTCAAACATGCAGCCTGCAGGCTGGATCCTGCCCGCGATAGGCCATGGAGTTGGCCTGTGGGCTGTCCTGGACATAGTGAGGGACTAGCTAGCCCCTGCCACCCAGGGCCCAGACACCCCCACCCAGTTGGCCGAAATAGCCAGGCCAGGCCAGGCCATGCCCACCTCACCTCCCAAGGGCAAACAAAATTCCAATACGGCCCACGATGGGATCGAGTTTGACACCCCTACTTTAGAAACTGAACTTCCTTGTTTTAGAGAAGAGGTGAGCAACTATGGCCTCTTTTACGACCACTGGACTTCAACTCCCAGAATTCCTGAGTCAGCATGGCTAGCTCAGGAATTCTGGGAGTTGAAGTCCACAGATCATGAAGGGACCATAATTAGCCATCCCAGTTTTAGAGAAACAATTTACTCATGGAAAGCCAAAGGACACAGGGGCAGCAGCCTTAAGAAGATTTGAGAAAGTTGCATGAAATACTAATCTTTCTTCAGTTGCATTTTATGCTAATCCCCATTCTATTTCTAAACTAATGGATTTAAAACTACGTATGTAAAGTGTCCTTCAAATCAAGCTCTTAATAAGCTTGTGAACGTATCCTTGAGAGTTTCTTAGCAACAAGATGAAAGTGGGCTGCCATAGCTTTCTTTCAATGTTTGCTTTGCTTATTTACTTTCCAGCTTAGCCCCTGAGACTTCTTGGTGAACCCCCACGCAAGTATCAAGCACTTTACACCCTAGAGAGCTTTTCAAAATCAGCCAAAGTGAGTTGAATGCTGTTGCCTCCTACAAAACACCTTGACTATTTGTTTGAATAGGAAGGCAGGATAAAAGTTGGACAAGTGAATTCATCAAAAGGAATGTCGGCGGATATCTACAATTACCCTTTTATTCTTAGCAAAATCAAATAAAGGGATCTATCAGGTGCGCTTGTAGAAACCATTATGGTGGGCTTTCTATACCTGCATCTTGCCATTTTATTGTTCCAAAAATTGTGATTACGGCAGAGTAAAAAAATAAATATTTCACTATTCGTGCCCCTTTTCTGGAACTGTTTTTCCTCCCCTAAAGCATATGTTAAAAATGTCAAACTATTGACTGTTGAATAGTTCCCTATAGTAACTTAGTCTGAAGTGGGCTTGAAGACTGAAGCATACATAATTAAGCATATTTGGCTTTTAGATGGGAAGATATAGTCAACCATTTTTCCTTCTGAAAATAAATTCAGCAACAATGAACAATGAAATGTAAAATGCAGAGGAAATACATAGGGGCAAAGCAGCACATTTCACTGGCAATGTATCTTCCTTCCCTAGGTGACTGCATGAAAATGCCCTCCTTATCCCTTGTATTTATTTATATGTCTGTTTTATTTAAGAGCAAAAAAGCTTTTAGGGCATAGATTTGATGAAAAATGTATCAATAGAACCGAAGATATAAGGTTCAATTGGTATCCTGACTTAGTATCCCATACCTGGTTTATTAATCTCGGAGGTAACCTAGAGAAACATATAAGCTACTAGCTGGGCCATCTATTAAGCAGAGTATCCAAAAGGACTATTCAGTGTTGGGAGTAAAGAGATCTACCAAGCAAAAATAAAGGAACTTCTTCCGTCAGATCAATGCAGGCATTTTGATGAGCTTATGAGAACACAAGCTGCGGAGGCAGTACAGCATTATACATGACACTCCAGTATTTCTACACATGCTATCTCAAGATTTTTCACTTTTGTCCTTTGTGGGAAGCCCCGCTCCCCGCTTCTAGAGAATGAAATATTTGGGGAAATATGGGGAAAAGAGGCAAAGTATTATATTTCCCCAAAGGAGAAATGGAGAAAAATCTTAACAAAGGCAGAAAGCAACCCCAGTCTTCCTGCCATAGGAAAACAGCTTCAGACGAAGAAGCTTCAAGAGGCTGACCTTTAGGAATGCAGATTTTATATCCATTCAGAAAGACTGGGCCAATCTAATTCATAAACAAAGCATTTTCAGCCACAGCTCCCACTGGATCTGATGGGTTTAAGAATTTACATTCCCGCTCCCAAATTCTAAGGACAGGACATGGCCTTTAGGACATAATAGGATTAACCCACCACCATTGAAATAGTAAAAGACACAAGGCTCACTACATTACACAACTCCCTGGAGCATCTCAATCACAAAACCCCAAAATCCTATAGAGATCTATCCTCTCACTCAACCATTTTGTCAGCCACCCCAGAAACATGCTGTTGTTACTGAAGTTTCTGGAAACCAAATAAACAGAGACCTTCTTTTCTTGTAGCCAGCCTCCATTTTATTTTCAGCATTTTCCCCCCAGCTTGGAACTGGACCGGATTTTTCTTCCCACAATTATCATACACACAATGAACATACTACCAATAAATGAGAATATTTGTTGCTCAGGGTTGAAATGAGGGGTCCTTGGTGCTCTTTTGTTTCACAACATCTAGACAGATTTAACCATAGTTTCAATTGGGGAAATGTGACAATCCTAGATCAGGTCCAAAAATGCCAGACACAATAAACCAGCCCAAAAGAGAACAAAAAGACTCTAACACCTTTCCACCAGTAATCAGCAACCAGATCAGCATAGATTAACTCCAAGGTTAACTTCAGACCAACAATCAAGTAAGCAATACCCCAATCTAGAAACTGCCAAAGAGTCAACAGTAAACTGCCTAACCAAAGAATCTTTAAGACTGCTACCACCCACACAGACAGGCAAGTCACCAGAATATAAACTGACAGCAGTGGTGGGTTGCCCCTGGTTCGCACCGGTTCTATAAAACCGGTAGTAAAACCGGTGGGAAGCTCCGCCCACCAACCCCAATGTCATCAAAATGCTTCTGCGCATGCGCAGAAGAGTGTGCGTGCATGCGCAAGAGCGAAGCGCGTGTGTGCGGCCCCATTGCGAACCAATAGTAAAGGTAGGTAGAACCCACCCCTGACTGACAGCAAACGTAACTCCTTACTGGCACTGATGAGGTTACCTAGTTAGGGTAATGAAATGTCTGCAAGAAAACAAGCAAGCTCAGAGAACACCAAGAACCCCTCAATGAGCATAATAATCTGAATGTTCTATATTGATGTGCTATAAGACATTTTGCACCTGAACAAAATGAGACTGGACTGGTACCTTAAAAAGTTAGTTTGCTCCTGGTCAGTGCTGTGGGTGGCAAATGAGGAAAGTAGTGTTGCATCAACTAAATGCAAGCTCTGCTCCTTTTGTATATGTGCTGTGATGTTACACATCCATATAAAAGGATTGTGAGCTTATCTCTATAATACCGCAATGATGCTATTGCCATTTTGATTAAAGTAGTGAGTCCTGCAGGATGCCTGAGTGGCGTAGGAGGCTAATGCCTCCTACTAAGGCAGCATTTAACATCCAGCTGCCTGCAATTACTGCGAGTTCAATTCTCACCAGATTCAAGGTCGACTCAGCCTTCCATCCTTTCTAAGGTGGGTAAAATGAGGACCCGGTTTGTGGGGGCAATAAGCTGACTTTGTATAAAATATACAAAAAGTATGAAGTATGAATGCTATTGCTTAACGCATTGTAAGCCGCCCTGAGTCTCCGGAGAAGGGCGGCATATAAAAATTAATTAAATCCAATGCCTGATATAACTACTTCTCTCTGCCTAATGGTAGGACTGTCCCTGATTCCCTGCTGGTTCAACTAAATCTCCCTGCAATCATTGCATTATCATGCTTTGAAGTCTCATAAATAGATTCAAGAATAGGCATGTTGACTCCTTCTTCAGAATTTGAGCATGTAAAGTCGCCAGCAGAAAATGGAACATTAAAAACTGGAATGGTGCCCTTTTGATTCCCCTGCTCTCCATGTTTAACAACAAAATCCCGAACTTGCTAGACTCCTACAGTTGATAGAGAAACAGGAATGAGAGAGAAAGAGAGAGAGGGAGGGAGGGAGGGACTATATGCGGTAGTCAAGGGTTTATTTATGTTAGGTAGCATGCTTCATTGAGATAAATAAAATCTGGAAAGTATAGATACTAATTTTGCAATCCCTTAGGAGGCAGGCTCATGAACTGTTTCATAATAGTGTTTAGGCATGCTGTAGTAATTTTATGTATGTAGAATATTCTATTATCTGTCATCATCATATTGAGGTATAATAATTAAAATACTTAAAACGTTCAATAAAAACCATTGGAGCTCCTTTCACGATCCACATCACTGTGGATTCCTAGAAACAAAAAGTGATTCCCCAACAATGCATTTATGCCTAATTTGCTATGCCTGCTGATTCGTCACAATTTTTTAAATGGACTGCTAACTGTCAAAGATGATCGGTTAATATTTCTCAATGGGTTCTCAAAGCATAGATTTTTTGTTTTTCCTCTGTCTATGTTGTACAGATATTAGGCTCTGCAAGACGGTGAGAAAAAAAAGCAGATTTTGGTATGGAACAGTTCAGTGGTGGAATTCAAATTTTTTTACTACCGGTTCTGTGTGGCTTGGTGGGCGTGGCATGGCATGGCTTGGTGTGCATGGCATGATGGGTGTGGCAGGGGAAGGATACTGTAAAATCTCCATTCCCTCCCCACTCCAGGGGAAGGTTACTGCAAAATCTGTGCTCGTCACCTCCCAGATCGACTACTGCAATGCTCTCTACATGGGGCTGCCCATGAAGTCCACTTGGAGGTTTCAGCTGGTGCAGAATGCGGACGCCGGGATAGTAATGGGAGTGTCCCGACACTCTCATGTTACACCTCTCCTGCAGGACCTGCATTGGCTACCGGTTGCCCTCCAGGTGAGATTCAAGGTGTTGGTAATTACCTATAAAGCCCTACATAGCTTAGGCCTGGGGTATCTGGCAGACCACCTGCGGCCAGCGACAGCTCCCCATCGCCCAGTGCGTTCCCACAGGGAGGGCCTTCTTGGGGTGCCATTGGCCAGACAATGTCGGCTGGTGACCCCTAGGGAGTGGGCCTTCTCTGTGGACGCACCTACCCTGTGGAATCAGCTCCTCCTGGAGCTCCGGGTGGCCCCTAACCTTCACTCTTTCTGCTGTGACCTTAAAACATGGTTATTTCGCCTGGCTGGTTTTGACTAAAGGGGTTTTAAAGGGGATTTTAAAGGTCTTTTTATAATCTTATTGGGTATTTTTAACATTGATTTTGCTTGTTTTTTTTGTTGTGAACCGCCCTGAGTCCTTTTGGAGATGGGGCGGCATACAAGCTCAAATAATAAATAAATAAATAATAAATAAATAAAATCCTCATTTCTTCCCGATCAGCTGGGACTCAGGAGGCAGAGAATAGATGGGGGCAGGGCCAGTCAGAGGTGGTATTTACCGGTTTTTCGAACTACTCAAAATTTCCACTACCAGTTCTCCAGAACTGGTCAGAACCTGCTGAATACCACCTCTGGAACAGTTACAGTCAAAGAGAGAAAGAGGCATTTTTAGTGGGCCAGGATCTCAACAATTCCTTAGGGCTTGATATTAGTTGTTCAACACCAGCACTTCCTATCATAACAGCCATTTAAATTCATATCATATCATATGGTCAGCATCTCAGCAGATTAGGCAATTCCAGGAGCAATAACTTCTGAAAGTAGCTGTGTGCTGAGCAGAAAGCATATTAATACACTGGTCTTCACTGTTGTACACTTTTCCTGTTCGTGTATTTTGCTGTCTCTATTTATTAGGTGGATATTTCATTCTTTTTTATTAAAAAGTTTTAAAAAGTTTTACAAATATTTTCCCCTCCCTCCTCCCCCCTCCTACCCCAACCCTCCCCCCCCAGACTTCCCAGAGCAAATACAGAGTATAGCATTTAACAAACAAACAAACAAACAAAAAAAAAACCCATGCTAACTATCTATAGATTTATCTCCCTCTTGCACTTTAACTCCCCTTTTTCATATCTAATTATGACTGCTTAGTCCGGTTATT